GAAGTTTAATCTAAATGGCACTGAAGTCCCAGGAGATCTAGATATAGCGCTCAGTACTAATAATAAATATTGATTCCTTTTACAGAGTTCTAAGTTGTTGGACAAATTTTCACTAATCGCCTAGTCAAAATGGCACTGAAGCAACATTCCACGGATGATGGTTATAAGTGAACGAGCAATCTAAGGTTATAATACACTATACCTGGTTTGGTTTTCTATCTAAAAAAAAAATCATTCGATTTTCAGAAAAGGGATCACAACACTTCAAACAGGGGCCACAAAACAGTTTCCTTTCACCTTTACTGACCACGAGACGGCAGAACCTGTAGAAAGCTTTCAACGATAAGATGGGTGTCTTCATACGACATACTGCTGCCGATTTAGGCAAAAATAAGTTTTATTTAGACGCCAAAATTGTGATTCTAAGCTTACGCTTCCGATTACATAGAAATACTGGTTGCAGCTCGTGCATAGATGATATTTTTTAATTTAGAATGTTACCATGTGTTTATTGTATAATGTGAATAACTGTCGTATGCGTGTACTTCTAGCTCAACTCTAATAACATGTGTTCTCGTGCTTTAAAATTGCCGGTGGGATGCAACCATCTTCACCAATTGACGACCCGTTATTTTTGTCACTTTTCCCATTTTATTCATATTGTGGAACAACAGGTAAACATGTCGATCAGCCCGATTTAGCTAGACGTTGTCTTACAAGGACTCAAAACCCAACGATCCTACCTTTTACCAAACTGCCCACCGCACTGACAATTTGTCTGCATCGTGGATATACAAAAACATAGTAGACAGTAGCTGTATACCTTTCCCCAATTCCATACTCGAAGTGAGGACAGCTCTCGTAGAAGTTCCTCTTCGGTGCAGCTTTTGAGCTTCTCGATGAGTATGGCGCAGTCTGAAGGCTGGAAATACATAAGAAAACGCAAATGAGACCCTATTGAAAAATTACCTGCATAATGCATCTGCATAATGAGTTTTCTAAAATTGACTGATTAAGAGATATTAAACGTTAAAGACAAAAATATCGAGCTTTAGTTTACCCACCTTTCAGCTAAACGTCTTCAGTTCTGAATTTTATAAGAGACGAAGCAGTTTCTCAATGTATTTAGTTGCCATTTCTAACAAAAGGATAGAGAGTTACATACCCAAAGTACTTTTAACTTATAGTAATTTTATGAGTAGGGTTGAATTTTATTAAGTTATGCTGTAGTTAAAAGATCACAAATGTTCATAGGAGAGTTTGGTAGTCGTCTACTTCGAGCGAACTCCGAACACAAGTATCTACTCCATTTTAAAAGACCACTTTCCAACTGGACTATGCAGATGTTTGGGTTCATAATTAAAAATGAATTTCTTAAATAAATCAGTGAAATTCTCAGGCAACACTATGACATATGAAATTCAGTCAAGCTGCTTTATTTTTTAGCGTCACAACAGAAGCTTTATTAACTGGATGAGACAGATCGAAACGGCTAGCTGACGGCATCCCCAGTCCAGACAATCACCAGTCCCAAAACGACATGAATCGTTCAGGCTTGTTTTCTTTGGTATTTTCATATTACTTGTCTCAAAAGTTGTATCTCTCTGGATGAGGTGCCTAAGGCGCGATGGCATGGCGAAACCCGAATCAATCCTGATGACCAATACATATATATCACATACATCCTGACTAATACATAACAGTATATGTATTATTAATTATTAATCTTGTAATTTAAGTTTATCTCGTTGCCAGAAGCTATACTACTAACAAATCTGTATTGAGCAGGCAATGGCGCTGCGTCACCTTGTATCGCCGGTATCGCGAAAACGGTATCGCTAATTCGAATTTGACCGTACGAGAAACGGAAGTGCGACTATAAAATTTTAAAAGCGATTTATTTTCAGTTGTGGTTCAGCAATAATATGTAGATATCGAAAAAATGTTCAGTACTGAGTTTTTTCATTAAGGAACGCCTCTATCATTTGGAAACAGACAAAAATAAACAAATCGATCAAAAATATACAATGAGTAATGACCTAAGCAAATTTGATTTAACTCCTTTTAATTTTTTAATTTAAGTGCCCTCTACCTGTTCCCACGTATGCAAAAAACGGTAAAAGGCTGGGACATCCTGTTTGGTTCAATACTACTAAAGTACTCAACTGTGCCTCACAAATATATTATATATCACACATTTAACGTAATTTCAGATTGCACTGCTTTGGTTCCACGTTGTAACGGAAATCTCTTTGCCACAAAAACGATATCCAAGTGAATCGGCTGAAAGCTAATTTCGCTTATGCGTGAATGCTCATGTATGCGTAAATCTAAGACTCGTGCCAGTAGTGCCGCAGTAGCTTGGATGGTTACGCCTCTAGCTGAGAGAGATGAAAAATCGCTGCTTTAAGTCCCGCTAATGACATGCTACACACAATGTGTAAATAAATAGATTTTTAGATATGAAAATGGATGTTGTTGATAATATATCAAGTTAAAGGCATTTCTCCATTTATGTGCATAGCCGAATATAAACTCAATTTCTCCAGGCTTTCCGTTGGCCAAAGATGTAGAGATGAAAGCGAATTTTTAAAGCAATGTAGTCTGTTGTTTTAGATCTGAATGCTGCTACCACTATCAAATACCAGTTTTGCATTGGCGAGGGTCAATAGTAACAACATTTCACAATAACAATTCTCACTTTCCTAATTTTCTTGTAAACAGATTTGGCCTGACATTAAACAATGAACGAGGTGTACTTCTCGAAAGTACTATGGCTACTGTCAACTCCGCAAGACACCCCTTCAAAACAAGGTGGTTTCTATTTTTTTTAGTTTGGCAAGACACCCCTTCATGTTAACCATATATTAGTTCAAATGCATTTTTATACATCTACAAGTATAGTACTTTGCGTATGTAGGGCTTGCACATTTAATTATGGTAACAATTGTTTCGCCATTAAGAAAGCTTCGCAAGGATTCAAGCAAATGATAATCAAGCAAGAAAAACAATAAAAAAAATAAGAAAAAAAAAAATTGAAAAAAGAAAAAGGCAGAACACATTCAGACTTAAATGATTTTTTTAACGCCATGAAAGTCACATGCAAAAAAAGGTAAATCTAACAGAGGCTTTTCACAGAGTTAACCCAAACGATACCGTCCTTATGCACTAGAAGCTCAAGCCTGACCGATCGATTCCAATACTAACAGAGTGGAGAGAGAATTGGCGAACAGGGAAACGCTACCTATGACTCAACTTTTTATGATGGTCATTTTTCAGTTTTATAGGCGGCTTCAAATACCTATCATTAAGTACCTTAATACCTGAAGTTAATATGAAGAAGCAAGATATTAATTTCGTTTACTTTGATTGATGATGAAGAATGAGCCCAACCTCTTACACTATGAGTGGGGTTCCATTAACAAAAGCACCCGAGTCTAGAAGCTCGTTTTGTAAGGTTAGCGAAATGCACTCAAACTAGTAACTACTGAAGCTTCATACAAGCGATATATCTTTTCAATATGAGTCGCTTTATTGCTTTAAAGAAAAACTATTTCAAACAAGGCTGCGGCCGCGGCTAGGAATCGGATTAAGGCTCGACTTCAGATAGTTAAGACTTCACTGTCACTGTGTATTAGAAATCAATTATTTGCTACCAAGATCTCATTTGTCGGGGACGAATCAAATAAAACCAAAGATTTAACATATTTAATATTGTCTTCAAAAGTCGCCTACGCTATAAAGTTCTATTAATTTTATTATCGGCTCTCTATAGAGTTCACGTGATTTTCAAGGCTTATGAGTAATTAGTTCGTGCTTGCTGTGCCTTTTTTCATGAAATACGGCCTCAAGGGAACCCATTTTACTAACATGTGAAAACCAAGCTTCGCAATAATCAGGAGTAAAAAAACGCTCCGAAAAGCAAGTAATACAAGATAATTTCTAAATGAAATCTATGGCATAGGCCTCTGGTGGATGTGCTGGCACTATGAAGTGGGTGCAAGACTGAACCTTACGAAGTACGTCTTTCGCCTCTTCTCGTAAATAATGATCATCGGACTGCGGTACTTGATAATCGGACCCCATAACTCCATTTGACTACTTTTCATGAGCCTTCATTACAAAGATAACAGAATCAGTCTCGCAAATCTCTATATGAACTTTTTGAGTCCCTCCCCCAACAATTTCTAAAACAGTGAGGTAAAAAAAATAGGCTTGCATAAAAAATGGATAACACTAACAGTTATATTATAATAGATATTTTTCTTTTGTTTTCAGAAGTATATCTAAAGAAAACATTATTATAATAATTTCTTTTGCATATTACGAAGTGTCGCACCGGGTGGTTGTTTGTTCAACGCAGCCTCTTTCGTAATCACCCAGCGGGCGAAAGCATCTAGCTTTCATGACAGATGACGTGAACGCGAAATTTTTGTACACCGTGGCATGGACGCATTAACAATATAAAATCTTTCATTATTGCATGGAGTCCAACGATTGTTAGGATTATTTATGGAGGGCGTGGATAGTCCGCGTAGCCGTTTGTCTGTCGTAGGGTTTCCGTTGTATTGCCCCACTTCTCTAACAGATGGAGTAGGGATAGCGCCTAGGACTTGAGAGATGTTGATTTTAGAAACAAATAACTATTTTGAAAGGTGCATGTATATGATATTTAGTGCCGCTAGAAAGCCTAGATTCTATTTCTTATTTCGGAACATTCCTCACTATCAACAATAAATGTCAACAAGGCTCTTAAAGAAGCGAAATGAAGCTGTATATTACCTTGAGTACTATATGGGATAGCGCTTTGGGACTAGTACGATATGTCTGGGAGAGGGATATCTGTGGGATGTGTTTAGGTTGTAACACGATCCCCTCAGTACTCGAAAATGTTGTAGCTACTGTATGTAGTATCTGGGCCATTCACCAGGTTTTTGCCCTGCTCATCAAAGCTTTATGAAGACCTGTAGTGGACGAATGAAATACTTTAAATTAGCAAGCTTACCATGAAGACACTGGTAGGCTTTTTAATAAAATTTCTTTAAATCGTGGCAACGTTTTACTCAGCGGTTACATCAAATAACTTCCGTCGTCTGCTACAAATTTTAAACAGATTGGAGAAAGACCAAGCATAAAAAGAGACCAGAGAAAAGTGTTTAAGGGAAATTAAAAAAAATCATAAGTATTATGACCGAAGGGCTCTACACAAATTAATGTGACGATACTATCCGTAAGGCGTTGTTTCCTTGTGGTTAATGAATTATTACTATCAAAATTCTTACGTAAGTACCCCATAAAATGGTTCGTCAATCTTAATTGTTTTATAATCTAATTTATTCTATTTGTTATTCTCTATAATAGGTGCCAGCTACTCGCGAAGTGCTTGCGTCGCTCCCGAATGTGTTTACAGCGTTGTGTCTTAATACTCGGGGCCTTGAAGCATTCGTGCAATGCCAGCCTTTCGAGCGAATTCTCAAGGTAAGTACAACTTGTGTATTTGATGGTGAGATAATGCAGCGACATACTCTCATCACCTTTCCGCCAGTTTTTGTCGACAACAAGGAAAGCTAGCATCTGTTAGCTTAAACAGTTCACAGCTGCATCATAATCATAGAACCGCTTCATAGCGGATTTGCCTTGTTTACTGCACAACGAAAACGAGGCTAGATAACCAGGTAGCGCGATTTTACGTAATAGAAAGCAGGTTACATGGGTGGTGTAAATTCAATGTCAAAGAGTTTAATCATGCGGACGCAGCGATGACCAAAAATGTTTGATTGGATATATTCAAGTCGCTAACAATGAGCGCGAATAGATGCTAGCAATGAAACAATACAATACTTATGGGAGTATTAGTATCAGGTCACATATACAAGCATGATTGACATATCCTTGACACCAAATTTAAACCCTGGCCTGCCTTCGCATAATCCGTAATACCGTGGATAACGATAAATATGAGGTAAGGTGCAGTAAGGTAGTTGGTTTTTTGCAAGCCCAACATTATGTGATCAGAGCTGTGATTTTAAATTCCTACAGTGTCTCCCTAATGGGCGATAGACGTCCACTGGAGCCCACAGATAATCTGCAGCGAAGTGAACCTCCTGCCTAAACATGATGGTGTCAGACATATCTAATACATAATACGTTAGTATTATAAAGACGTGTCACTTAAAACTTACAAAGAGCTGAGAAAGGTGCCTTTGAAGTTAAATTATTTTTATCTTTTTTAGCTGCTTTTGTTAAGAAAAGTCGTACTAGGGCTCCAGCAAAAATATTAGAAAACACACATCTTAACATCGTGTTGTCAAGGTTCTAGTGATATAACCATGATTTATAAATCCAATTAAACACCAGAACTGTTGTTAATTTATAAACTGAAGAAACTGAAGAAATTTCTTTGAAAGGAAAGATCCCAAAGGGTTGTCAGCGACAGTTTTGGGATTATTTGGCAGTGAAATGTTTCCGAGAGAATTCCGCTAATACAGTATTTTAATCTGACGAAATATAGAGATCGAGTGCCTAACCCTCTTAGAAGTAATGAAGTTCGATTAACAAATTGCTTCTCTGTGGTTAATTAAAAATCGGTGAGGTAAAGTAAATGTTCACAGCAAATGGGTGTACCTTTAGAGGAGTATGTGACGAAAAAAAAAGCAGTTGAACTACTCAACTACTTTTGTGTGTCTTCCTCCAATCGACAAATTCTAGCAAAGACTTTTAGTAGCAGTAGATGGCTTTCGCAAGCATACAGAACAATACGATTGATCGTATACTCATTACGACGTGCAAACTGTTTCGATCACATCGATTTGTCATTCTTGGCTGCGGCTTCACCCGCGTCATTGCACATTTTTTGGAATTCTACCACTTCGAAATCGCGCAGGAGACAGCAAGAGGATTAATCCAGAAAACCTTTTGCAACCACATAACACCAGCATGAGCGGTATAATCTTAAGGGTGTGAACAGTGCCTTGGAGGAGACCCAACAGAAATTTGCCGTAAAACCTAGAAAGTTGCTTCCTCAGTGCTTAGTTGCGGTCTGCAATCTGTCGATGTCATAGTACGGCGGGAAACGTGGGCCATATTGATCATACTGCCGCGTAACTGCAAGCTTTATGCCGCAGCAGCCTTAGTAATTTCAGCAATACGAGTTCCGCTGTCGGAAAAAGTGCTGTCATCGTGTTCTATTCATCTATTCATCTGTGGAGGAACAAAATCGATCCATAACTAGTCTGATACAGTCGACTTGGAAGCAGAAGACAATTCTTCGGCGATACTAATGCAATAAATATGGACAATCTCTTCCAATAAACGCGGGACTCTTAGACCGTAACAGAGTAGTATTCCGACATTCATGTGTCCCATGGAACGTTCAGGAAAAGAGCTTTTCGCTGTAAAAATCATCAGGAAGGTAGGTTCTGTACATGGCCCGGACATTCTAGTTAGTGCTGACGCGTTGTTAACATGGTACATACTTGTTGACACGCAAGTGAGGCTCAAGTATCGGAAGTGATCGCCGTCCCCAACAGTATCTCCGATGTTAGATTAATTAATTATAATAAGGTGTTAATGCTATCTCCATGGAAAATCGCGTGGATGTATAATCTTACTATGTAAGTACAATGTATTTGTACTGTGTATGCAAATACTATGTATTTGCCAGAAAAGCGTCGTGCCTTCATAGCCACCAAAAGACCCTTATTTGTTAGGAGATAGATGTGATGTAAATGAAAGGTGAGAACACTCATCCTGAGTGCTCGGATGCAAAACTCATTTCGCTGCAAACGAAAAAACTGATGATGGTTTACCTTAGATCGTAACTATTGGTTGCTTGCATTAATATACTATATAAACCCATAAGACTATATAAAACCCGTGAAGCCGAAGTGCAGAGAAGGGCAGCAGGTCAACTTCACGACGGAATGCTTCGTGAGCCTCTTCGTCTGACTCCCATAATTCGGTCCCCGCAAAAGAACTTTGTAGTTTCGCCAGATGCTCTATAGACCTATTTGTGAAATATTCACGCCACTATCCTGGCAGAACTGTTGTGCTGCCAGTTAGCTAGGTCGTCAGGAGATCTAAAGCATACATCAATTTCAGAGACAGACTGTAGAACGTTTCAGGTCGTGAAGCCTCCCAATCACTACGAACTTTTATGAAGCACTCTCATCTAACAGTCAACTTCATTCTGAAGTGGTGAAACGAAACAAAGGTTTCGCGCAAGTAGGTTAATTACCTTTGCCTTTTAGACGGATTAGAGAAAACTCTAAATTACTGACTGCAAATTAGCTTTCAAGTGGAATTCGAGAACCATACTATTGACGAAGCTGGCGGAACTGGGAATGACTTCAAACGTGCCAAGTTAACTGAAAAAAATTTCTTAGGGTAACCTTATCATTCATGATATTGGTGGCACCGTAAGAAAAAGCGTTAAACAAACGATAGGATTCATAGAAGTAGAAAACCTCATCATTACCGTTCATGTTCCTCAATAACGGTATTTCCTTATGCATTAAGAAAATACCAATGTCTAGCGAATTATGTACTAGCCCTCGAACAACTAGCGCCGAACAAATAGCGCCTGCAACATATGCTAACAGCCCTAAACAACTACATGCTGAGCTTGGACGTTAAATCAAAAGACAAAGGTCACAGAACTTAATCGTAAGAAACTCACCACTTAGCTTGAAAATTGTCAGCTTGCATATGGGCCTTGCAACAGTTTTTAATTGACAACACAGAAAAAAATACTTTGAAAGACGGTAGTCTTAGTTATCGCCATAAACGTGAAAAGTTCCAGTAGTCATCTAATTCAAAAACTGCGCCGACTGCCACATACGAAATCGCATTTTAAACTATGCGCTTAGAACCCGCTTAGCTTGGACATGTTCCTCTTAAAACTAATACTGGGTGTTTAGGCGACAACGCGCAATTACGTAATGTGCCTGTTTATGTTCTACTGACGCTTATCGAAGAAAAGTGATTACTCTTTTTAGAGAATGTAATCACTTAGGCAGACGCAAAAGTCACTCTCACTCTTCTCAATCCCAGCCGTGAGCGATGGCGCATGACAGTTAGTAAATAAAAGTAATCGTCGAATAATAACGAGGTTGGCAGTTTATGGGTTTCAGCGCCTACTGCGAGAGCTACGCGCAAGGATACTACGAACTTGACAAGATGATTTTTAATAATTGTTAATCTTCTTATAGCACTTATATACCAGCTCGATTAGGGCAGCGATCAGTAAACCAACTCGTAAACTCAAATGCTTAGTCAATAACATACATGTATACAACTGTATCTTATTAATAATAAGATACATACTTTTATAACTGAGGAATGCATGATTAGACACGCGGAGTCAAATGAACACTTTGTTATTATGGAAAGATAATCTCTTCATGAGTTCTTATTAACGGTGTGTATAATCACACAACCTATAGTTATTTTATGTAATAAAATAACTATAGGTTGTGTAATATATATTGTATAATAATAATAAGAAAATAATAAAATGTTTTTCTTTTTAGACTTAATACTTTTGACAAGCTTGCAGCCGGTATTAAACAAGATTCCACATATAAAGTTATGTAATCTTGTTTAATACCGGTTGCAAGCTCGTCAAATATTAAGTTTAGAAATAAACTAAACATATGAATAAAATACCATAAAATAGTCGCATGCCTATTTTCGCGCGGTGGTGTATTCGTTTATTCCAAAGCATGGAAATAGCCAATTTTATTAAGTCGTCCCATAAGTTCGCTCCGGAATCGTACTTAGTTGTACTTTTTACGTACCTATAACGTATTTTCTCCCGGACAACTTCAATCAATGATATTGGTCATTCTTAGCAATAATGCTCGCCCATCTTTCAGACGGCTTTTTCATTCAATTTTTCTAGGACCTGTTATTTTTACTTCAGATACACTAGTCGATATGATGTTTTATACGTTCTAAAAATACAACATTTTTTCCATTAAAGGAAATCTGCAGTGGTCGGTGAGGGTAATAACCGGTAGGATCAAGGTCAGGAATATAACGTAGGTGACGCTAAACATTCCGTTTGAACTCGTAGAATTTTCTGTGGGGCACTAAAGATGTGTGAGACTTGACGTTGTTTTAATGAAGTATTACCTGTCTCTTACTCGCCTTAGCCAAGCGTAATTCTGGGATCCTTTGTCTTAAGCGATCGAGACATTCGCGGCACTTTTAAGTAACGTTATAACTAATCGACTTTTCATCGCCTGTCACCGTCTTTGCAAGAAAAAAGTTATCCTCGTGCAGTTTCAGAAGATGATCGGCTGTACACACAATTTATCGGTTGCTATTCGGTCAGCTCATGAGGAACCCAGATGCTTGCTCGTTTGACGTAATCGCTGCTTGCTAGATATGTTTGAATAGTAAACTTTCATGTTCCCATGTTTTCTGCAATCAGGTGAAGGCTTATATCGGGTTCTGCTGTGGGAATTTCAGCGTACTCATAATCAAAAGATCGACCTGTACATGCCTTGACGTGATGCTAAAGTTACCACTTCGAAAGCGAGCAAGCTTTCTGACCGTGTAATCGGTTACTGCATGGAATCCATGTACCCCATAAATTTCTTCACAAGTTTGGTTCCATTTAGCCCTTTCCACAAACAAAACCTCAAAATCGACCTTGAATCGACTTTTGATATGTCCATCGTGAGAGGTATGTGCAACTTGACCTAAATGTGCAAGCGAATTCAAAATAGACGCGAAAGACAGCCCTGCTATATGAACAACCGCTTTTCATCCCTCATCCATCTTGGTTTGTAGCACCAAAATTAATACGGATCCAAAATTTGAAACGAACTTATGGGACAAATCTATATTCCTATCACGTTCTGCGATACTACTGCAGCATATTATAGTTTGTATAGAAAATGACTGTAGGACTGGTATAATACTGAATGCGTGTTAATAATGCACCTAGTAACGTGAAAATTTAACTCGTTGTGGATTACTTATAATGGACGGTTATTTCGGTGCTGTAATTTCAGGTGCTAATATCGCCGGACTACTTATCGGCTATGCGTAGGAGGCGTAGTTCAGAGCCTCTTGGTGACACCGCTGCAAATTTAGGTGAGAACAGTTTTTCGGGTCGTATTATACAGCAGTAGCAACAAGACAACAAAGGCGAGATAAGACAGTTAATTTCTATTTTTATTTCTAACTTTATTTATTACTAACATAATAGGTTACTGGTAATTTTTTTTAAGTCCGCAAGCTTTTGAGCATTTGGGTATACGCTGAGCATGCTGTTTTACGGGCGTCAGTGAGGTTTTTGCAAATATCATAGCTGCTTACAGATAGTTTTCATGCACTTTATCGCCACTCAAAATTTGTATCCGTGTCTATTTGTAGCCAGAATCGTAAGCGAATTTTTCGTGGTATACCATTGATATAGATCGAAGATTTCATGACACTGCTAGTTAAGCTTTAATCTTACGTCTACTTTAATTACGTCTTACAAGCGCCGTGCCGATAAATACATAAAGGGTCATTAATTTTTGATGTATCAACTTGAGATGTTTACACTGCGATCAAGTGTCGATGCAAACGAAATACCGTTTACAAGAGCCGATTGGAAGTGCCATTTTATCATGTATTAATCGGGGAATTGATCTCGTCCATCTTACTTAAAGGAACAATATACTAGACTCATTATTTACGACGAATTATCTTCAGGAAGCTCGCAGAAGACTTAGATATCTAAAACGAGCCACGTGGGGCCATTTTAAATCTGCAAAAAGGTTTACAGCAAGGATTATGAAAGGCTTGAATTTCGAGTAAACATAGGTCAGTCAACAATTTTCCGAGAGCACGCGAATTTTCACCAATACGTCGTTCGGGATAAAAAAGAAGTTTAACTGATGGATATAACATGGGAACAAAAATATCGTTTAAGATCCAGGTGTAGGACCGAACCTCTACTTATCGTCTTTCATTTTTGTCAGTTTGTCGCATTTATGATCGGTAGGGAATACCACCAAAAATTGAACAATGGTAGTTCAAAGAAATTTACATTTTTGGCGACACGAACGTTAGACTTTTCTGTACTTTACCTCTTCACTAAACCTAGTCGCCTGCGACCCAAAAAGTCTGAAGGAAAAAAACAAGACGACTGAGGAAATTTAAGAAAATACAGCGCAGGTTGAGGTTTTGTCCTACGATCAAATGTATCATGTGTATTCAGTTTGGTGGGACTTACAAGTGAGGACAACTAGATCTTGGACGACTGAGGCGTGCGCAGAACGTATGGAACAGTCCTTCGTACCCTTTACGTGCTTTATACAATCGTATTGTTCAGGAATTTAAATTTTAATTCGATTTTAGAGGTAAAAGTAAAAAGTTTAGTCAGACATAAGCGTGTGAATTGTGAAATTTATGGGGTGCCCGCTAATTAGCTTTTGGTATTTTTATAAGCACAACAAAGTAATGGATATTCTGATGGCGATGACGATGATCTTTAGCAAGTCTCCGTGTAGAAGATCTTAAAAGTATCCTTTTTAATATATCCGTATTGACTTCTAAGAATGTGAGCGGTACAAGTCGTGCCACATTGTAACAACCTAGCACGATTATCGGTTATATTTTACATGCTTAAACACGTCGCTGGATTTGATTTTTTTACACTAACTAAATTTCATTTACAATCCGGGTTTACCTACAAAATAGACCATTTGGTGAAGAAAAAAAAAAAGTCATTTAGTTTTTTGTTGTTGGCTATCAGCTGTCGTTTCTTCAGTAGGCATATGTATGGCTGCGTAGCGTTCCTTGAAAGACCTATTAAAATGACTTTATTTTATGTCTCAAGCAACCGAAGAGATCGAGCAGCAGCGCAGGTAGTGCGAGCTGGTTCTTGCAATACGAATGAGCTAACAAGTTGGCCTGACGACTAAGAGCCACAGAGGAAGTCAATGCTCAGGCGTAACCACAGTTCGTTTCATGTTGGAGGGAGCTGATCGTTTAAACCAGTGCTTACAGCAGTACCGAACATAACACTCCATCATTTAATTGGATAGGAGTACGGCGTTCGTTCGCAATAAGCGAGCCTGATATAGGAGAGTAAAGAAAAAGCTGATGTAGAACGCCCGGGTATTAAGCAGCCCTTACCTATGTTATACTAACGGAAAACACGATTTCTCTTGAGCACTTTGGCTCTAGCATATCAGGGAGTAAAAAGCCACTGCATTGTGATCCAAGAGCCTCCAAGCTGGCGATTACTGCAAACTGTAATTACAGCAAGGCATTATGGGTGACCTTTCTTCATCATAGTCTGTGAGTTGTGACCTTATCCAAGGTGTATATCATTGCTCTTCTATACTTCGACTTTGTGATCGATCACTACAGCTCTAAATAAATGCTGCGGGCAGTACGTCGGTACTGCCATCAAGCATTGCTTCAACCAATCGGCCTTCAACGGAAAACGGAAGTGTCCACGCACAATTTCAAACCTAAACACCTGACGCATTCCTAGGTTTAGTACGCCAGCGCATTCCCAGTGCGCCATCATTGAGATTGTTTGTACGGCGTTACTCAGCTTCTTGCTGTCTGCTCCCTTCTATTTCTTCATTGTCGCGATAAGTTCCTCAAAAATAGGCCTAAACAGAGCTACCTTTTTTCCGAAATTTACAGGAAGGATCTAATTAGAATTGAAATTGAACGGCTAAGAAGTATGTTTCTCGGCTGTTTACGCTTTGGTATTTATATAACATTGTAAAACATTCTTTTGTCTCAGCTATGCATTAACTGTAGCAAAGGTAATTAATGTATATTTTTGCACTTTTTTGGTATTTCAAGGTAACTCAATGGACGAATTAATGCGACATCAGCCATCCCTTCGCGCCCCTGCTATGTCTGCTATCGTGGGTCTCCTACGTGAACTTTGTGAGATGGGTTCCAATCCCGCTTTGGTCTGCCTGCGAACGCACGGCAAGCCGACAGGTAGTGGTGGAAGTTCATCTGCCGGCGAAGGCGTCGATCAGGGAGCAGGAGGCAGATCCGGAACCGATGAAGAGGGGAGTGGAGCCCCTGAGACAATTGAGAATGAAGGCGAGGGCCAAGTTATCGAGGTGTCGTCCGAAAGTGACAATGATGACGATGATGGGGAGGAGGTAGGTAACACTCCTGTGAACTTTCAACTATAATAATCATAATAACGTGTAGTATACATAATAATTGTAGGTTATTATTATCTATTTCGAAGAATAACGAGTATGCTCAGCTCAAAAGCCCAACTCAAGCCAAGCTCAAAAACTTTTTTTCGCGCGCGTATTTCCATAATTTTGAAAGTTAAAATTTATTGCAAAACACAAGGAAAATTTTATTATATTTTTCGTCAAACGGCCAATAAAACAGATTTGTCTGAGCTTTTTTAGTTGTTCCTTAGTTTTTTTTGTCACTGCATCATAAAGTAGCACGTACTAATTTTATTTACTTATTGCAACAACTAAAAACACATTATGTGTATACGCTCGAAGCTGTCTTATTTTGTTTAACATCACTGTAAATATTCGGATTTTTTTGATACCTTTTTTTTGATAAATATTGAGTGGGACCCGAAAGGTGACATACATAAGCATTTCTGTTTAGCCAAATAATACTATGTTGAGTCAAGTAAAGAATCCCAGGGTAGGGGTATGAAGGAGCATGTGATGTCAAAAAAGTGTCACATAAAATTCCAGCTTCCCGGGAAGTTACGGTTGACCCACGTGAATATTGTAGCACACAGATTCGTATTGAAATCTAGCGCAGGATATTTATAAATTAATTAAATTAAACTGGGTTTTCATGTTAAGATACGATTTTTAATGAAAATCGATTTAAAATCCAAGGGAAATTTTTGACAAGCGTTAAATTACGTTTTCGTGATTGGGCGAAACTATATGTAAATGCTTACGGCTCTTACAGCTCTTATTGACTTTGCTATATATATATAGCTCTTTGCGTTTGGGAAAGTAGTTCTAACATACGTATAAAAAAAATAGTGAGATCTTCACATCGATCGTGTGACATAATTCATATATATATATATATATATATAATGCCCAGTAAGTGTGAGATAAGCAAAAAGACTTGTATTGCGTGCCACGACGTAGGACGTATGACGTGGAGCACGTAACCTTCCTTGGTGGCCGTGGACAATACTGCCGCAACTCATTATTATCATATAGGTTGGTTATTTGCTTCCGGTTCTCAATACAAAGTATACTAATACACAAAATAAGTCAAAAGAATAACATTACCTCTGAACTGTTACAGGAGCGTGAAAGTCCTGAATCGCGTGGAACGAGCGTCGGACAGCCGGGCGGAGCGAATGCATCCTCTGTGACAGCAGGGGAATCGGCTGTTGGGTCTTCCAGTGGACGGGCTTCAGGTACACCGGCTAGCGGCTGCTCGGGCCGTGCTGGCTCTGGGATCGTCGGCGGTTCAGATACAACTGCGGCTGCAAGAACAACTGTACCGCTCGTCGACTATATTTTAAATGTGACCAAATTTGTCGATGCAATTTTATCCAATAATTCCACCGACGATCACTGTAAAGAATTTATACGTCAACGAGCCCATGTTCCGCTATTGCGCATCTTAGCGTTGCCTAATTTGCCTTTAGATTTTCCTATATCGCCTGCCTGTGTTGGTGTTGCATCAGTCTGCAAGTCTATCCTGAATTTGGCTCACGAGCCCGTCCTTCTCTGGGAAGGACTTGATCAGCTTAATGAAGTCGTACAACGTTTAGAACCATTGTACAATCCAGTTCCCTCGGAGGCCCGAGGTTTGACATTGGCAGGTACGAGCAGTAGGCCTGCTGGGTCAATCCTACTGCAGGAGCTTGTGGATGCACGTGGCGCAGAGCCCGGACCACAAACGGCACCGCTATTTCATGCAATGGCGGCAACTCATGCTTATGTCGTTATGTTTGTACACGTGTGCCGTACCGGGCAAAGTGACATACGTCGGTTATCAGTTAATCATTGGGGATCTGAACTGGGTCTGCGAGTGTTAAGTACGTTAGCGCAACTGTACCTTGCACTTGTCTGGGAGAGCACGTTGCTTTTGTCCCTTCGGTCGGATACAGTTTCGTCGAATGCAGCGTTGAGCAGCAGTACCTGCTCAGGTAGCGCTAATATAGCGCGCCAACAATTGGCTCGCCTCGCTGGTATTATATCAGCTTCGTCAAGTAACGGTTCAGGTGGCCTTTCTAACAATACTGATGAAGCGTCTTCGCCTATGGATGTTGACCAGACTGATTCTAAACCCGCATCTCTAGCATCATCTCAGGTCGGCGGTTCGGGCGGTGGTAATTCCAATGCAAAGATTGCTGCGGCAGTAAAACAAATACAACCTTTATTGACAGGCGCCTCTCGATTGGGTAGAGCACTAGCTGAACTATTCGGATTGCTCGTGAAGTTATGTGTAGGCAGTCCAGTTCGGCAACGACGTAACCAGCAACTGACAACACAACCTGCGCCTCCGAGTCCAGCTGCAAAAGCAATCGCCATGGCACTGACGCGACTGCTCGCACAAGGCTTGTCATGGACGCCTCCCAAAGATAGCGAGACTTTGTTTGATCCTAGCTCCACGAAGAGCTGTTTTACTCTCTACATATGCTCAGCGGGATTTACCTCTCCAATGCTCTTCGATGAACGAAAAATGCCGTACCACCTTATGCTACACAAATTTGTTGCTTCAGGAGGTCTCGAAGCCTTTTTTCAGGTAAACTTACAATGTTAGAAGTATAACAGTTAATTTTCAATCCAGTATTGAATATTAAATTTACCTTTACTTGTTGATTTGCAATTACAAAGTTGCCGCGATTCATATGCGCCCTGTGAGGTTGGAACTGAATAAGTATCAAGCCGCATGCGTAGATTTCATGCCATGCAAGTAGACCCGGCAGGCGTAGGGCCGTTACGTAGTCCTATTTATTCTGGTGTCATACTTTTGTGAATAACCTGTGAGTTTCAAGATAGTAGAAATCAATATAATTTGGCTCTCGCGGAATTATGCGGTTTCTAGTTTCTGAAGATGAATCTTAGACCGAGTATCAACCGTTCACGTTTCGTTTGTATAGAACTGCTCCTCTCTGGGAGCGACAAAGTACATGCTACATCGAGGAGCATTAAAACAAAATAATGATCATGATCCGAGCATTTGCGCACCAGACTTAAAAATCATGAAATGTCGCCTTTGCCTCCCAATGACGGGTCGGTGACCTATTCAGTTCACTTATTCTTAGTGTCGACCCAACCGCAGTTGCGGTGGACCCTCGCGAGTCTCATTGCACCTTCTATCCGTAATATTCGTACTATTTCTTTACTTTCTTGTATTTAATTTAGTAATATATTAAATGACATAGATATCCGTGGTAAAATATAATATCATGAGCCTGTAACAGGGGTACTGACGCTAAATTGGTTCAGTTCGGTTCGAACAACAATGTTTTTCACTTCGCGGTATAGCATGCAGCTTGCAACTCCCAAGTACGCAGTGACATCAGATTTGCACGTTTTAAACAAATCGTACCATAATCACAGTTCCGTATATTTTAATGCGAGGCGGAAGAAATACGAAGCAACATCGTAGTAATGCACTTATAAACTTTGATGTTACAAACGTTTTTAGCTGGTGCATTGCCCGTGTATGCTGTCAAGGTCAAATGTCCTTTTTAAAATTTAAAAAAAAAAAATTAAAACAGGTTTTTAAAAAAATGTTACTTAATTTTATGTCCCACTAATGCAGGCATTTGAATGGGCTATGAAGTACTGGCCTGGCGGAGACGGTAATCAAGAAAACGACGCAGGTACATCAAATGAAGACGCATCAACGAAAGGTGGACCCTCTGAGTTTACTGACGTAGCTGGTGAATTTTTAGACGCCTGGTTGCTCCTGCTCGAAAAACTGACCAACCCACGAGCCGTTATTGACACGCCCCACGTACTTCCTAGCGTGACTCCAATGGCTGGAGGTCAACAACAAGACACAGCTTCGGAGCCTCATTTCAACGCGCTGCAGTACCTGATGCATGTGCATCGTCGCACATTTGCAGCGTGCACCCGTTTGTGGGGCCGCCGGCCTCCGCGCGCCTACGGTGACCGTATGACTGAGTCTTTACTTGCTATTCTCTGTCACTTACTCAAAGGAGAAGCAATCATCAACGAGCGTCTTGAACAGCAGCAGCAATCGGGAACTAGGGGCACTAGTCTTTTGGGAGGATCCCAAGGACATCATTCAGGAGCTTTAGCACAAGTGAACAATGCCCAGACAACAATGGCAGCGGACATGATCCCATTAGCTGGAGCAGAAGCCGAGACATCAGAGGTTACCTCCGATGGCCTTCCTGGGGTCCTTTTTGGTTCTGCAGGATCATCTTCATCTGGAGGAGCTGCAGGTGTTGCGAGTGGGTCGTTTGCTCCGTTTGGCATGCGGCCACTGGAAATCGTGAATAATAGCACTAGTGGCGGTAGTAGTGGCACAAGTGGGCTCGGGGCGACAGCATCAGCCATGGAAGTTCAGCAGCTGGTTGACATGGGTTTCGATCGAGCGCGCGCCACAGCCGCACTTGCTCAAGCCCGCAGTCTCGAGCAAGCTGCGGAGCTTCTACTTAGTGACCCTGATGCGCACCAACCTCCGCCAACGGGTCATTTCCACATAGTCCATCCTGGCGTACAACAACCCTCCTCAACTCCGGAACAGATGCATGCTATAAGCGACGAGTCGAACAATGAACAGCAAGGCAGTGATGCTGCCAGAAGTAACAGAAATAGCGAAGGAGATAGCGTTGGTGGCTTAACTGTGGATTGTGGGCAAGGAGGCTCAACTAGTATGTTTTCTGAACGCGGCACCGTAAAACATAAAGAGGAAAGGCTTACGAATTTAGCTCCTATCGTGCATCTGGAGGATGAGAAGCCGATTGATAAAGCAGCGATGGATTCGTTCACACAGGAACGTCTGTTACCGGGTGTACTCTCCCTTCTTGGAGTCCTGCCGGATTCAGTATACCGTGTTTGCGATCTACTTGCGGTCGTAGTGGCCCGCAACGGGCCCGAATGGCGCGACTTTGCTTTACAGCGGCTTTTGGGTGAAGTTAAGGCCCGTGCCACGCATCTTCTAACTTCATCGACCACCGAAAACGACAACGCCACACCTGGCAATGCAGATACAATGGATAGTATCAACGATGCATCGCAGCATCTGGCTGTTATTGTTCATCTAGTTACCTTACTATTTGACGAAATGCGGCCCGCATGCGCTCAGTTATTGGAACAAAGCGAAATGGTACCTCTATTGTGTTTGCTTGTCGAAAAATATGCATCTAACGCACCACCACGAACGCAGCCTCAGCATCATTATCAGTCCTCGGATCCAGGCACAGCCAGTTCTCATGTTGTTAATACTGGAGGTCAGTCGTCTACGATATCAGCAAGGTCGGCTCCGCCTAGTTGCAGTGCTGGTAGCGTGGTGGGTCCACCTCGGTGGCTTGTTAGCGTTATTCTACTGTTAGACCTTTATGAGAAAGCGGTTTTAGCACTTAACCGACGCCTCCCTTTGGTGAGGGGACTGGGTGCGAACCGACGCAAATGGAAGTGGTTTGATGAACGCTCAGGACGTTGGACGGCTTATACGCCTGCTAATAATCAGACTATCGACGAAGCTTACGTTAGCGGATTACCGACGGTGCGATTTTCTGCTAGCAGACGGAAGTACTCGGCGGACTTTACATCAATGGTATGCTATATAATATATTTATATATATATATATATATATATATATATATATATATATATATATATATATATATTAGTCAGCTCAGTTTAGTGGACCCGATTGGTCAAAAGTAGCTATATGGTATACCATAATCTTCTAAATTTACGATAGCGTATTGTGTATGCAATCCTTGCTTGCATATAAGAGCTTTCTTTTTTATAGTATCAGTTACAGTGAATTCAGTATTAATATCAGCCTGTTAAAAAAAATTATATTGCTACTTATATGTATGTATAAAACTAAGGATGTCGCCATGAGACAGACGGGATATATATCCAAATTTTAAGTCATATACAGTAACAACGTAACTAAGAACACCGACTCTCGGAGGTAAAGCTGCATAATTGCATTAAAAAATTGCGGTGTTTGAAAGCAGATCCAGGTAAACGAGGATTCAACACATTGTCGACCGATGATGTTAACGTGGGATAAGTGGGAACAGCCATACGTTCAGGTGAGCTCCAGTGAGACTACCTCTGCATCCGAAGCTTCTAATGAATCAAACGCGCCACAACAGCAAAATACCACAGAGCGAACTGCAGTGTCAATTACCAATCAAGGTCGAGGTGGGCTTTCGGAGTTCAATTTGGACCTTCCGAATGAGCCTTTGGAGGGGTTACGGTCCGGCCACAAGGTGAGGAAAAACATTTTATCAATTACAAGCAGTTTATCGCTTAAAACGATGAGTGCGTTGTTCGAAAGGCAAGTTTGTGCATATTTTAAAATGGAAACTTGCTAACTAGCTTGAATTTTTGTGTATTTTATTTGAATTAGGAGGTGCTTATCCGGTCCTGTGTGCAACTGTTAGCCAGTCCTGTCGATGCAGATACTCTTCACGCATTACTGCGTCTTACCCTTCGTCTAACACGTAGTTACACAGAGGCAACGCTATTTGCCGAAGCTGGGGGTATTCGAGCGTTACTCGCTCTTGATGTAACAGCATGTCAACCTTTTTCGGGTTTTACATCTCTCGTTACTCTCATTGTTCGCCACGTAATGGAGGACCCTAGAACCTTGCAAGCAGAAATGGAACGTGTTGTACAAGGTTCGGTATCACAGCATGTTCCACCACTCGCACTGTCAGGTCATCCGGGTGTGGGGAACCATGGAGCCTTGTCAGAAATGCATTACACGCTCCGAGTTTTGGGACCAGCTACATGCCGAGACCCAGTATTGTTTACGGAGGTAGGTGTCTGCGCGCTGTTAGGTTCTGCACCAAAAATAGATCAGTAACTTATAAAGGCTAGTCGTAGAGCTGCTGCCAGTGCAGCTGCTGGGAAGCTTAAATTCTGACCTATTTAACAACGATCGTAACGCTTTGTGATGAGTGAGGTGGTTTTCCGATTTCATTGATGTGAAGCTTACCCATTTTTGTAACAATGTGTATATGTATAGTGCTGGTGCAAGCATTTTTATGGACCTTATATAAGCAAGGTCCATAAAAATGCTTGCAATCAAACCTTTTAAGCAGTAAAAAAAGGGTATTTAAGCTAAGCAAGAACTTGATGTACCTATTTTATAAAATAAGCACAAGACAAAGCAGGAAAGCTCATAATTTTGGTTGTAATTTGTTACGCTGATTGTACCACTTGTTTGCTCTCTGTCTGTGAATGTAAATGACTTGCGTAGAAAGTACGTTTTGTATTAAAGTCGAAACTAATAATTGTTGTGAATTTGCAGGTAGCTAAGAATCAGCTTCGAATCTCATTAATTCCATCGGGGGCATCCGCGACCAGCGGCCAAAACAGTGGTACCAGTAAGAGAGCAGGTAGTGGAGGCAGTAGCGGAGTTGGGGGAAGTACCAATAGTGGTGGCGGTATTAATCAGCAAGAGTCACTGGCAGATGATGACGCGGACGCCCGACTTGCATCCCCCTCTGCTGTACAACGACTTCGAGTTGCAACGTCATCGTCATTAGCACAATCATCGGGAATGAATAGCTCCAATTACAGCACGAAGTCAACGCCACAGTCAAACGGGAGTTTCACGTCCGTGCCTCCCTTGTCGCCAGTAGCCAGCCAGGTGGTGGCAGAATTATTGGAAACTCTGGTTATTGGTCAGGAGACCAACAACATCGATAGCGCGCATGATGGAGTTGCAGGAGGCGCCGTACCGTTGTTGCCTCGATCAGCCATTTGCCGCTTGCTAGCTGAATTAGTAGCAAGCTATCCTGCTGTGGCACGCCTTTTGGTCGAGCATCGCTATGTAGGTCCTCCAGAACCGTGCTCGGCCTTGTCATTCATTATAGATCACCTATTGCCCGCGCAGCAGCTTCCATCGACAACAGTATCAAGCCAACAGGGAGCGCAACAAAGCGGAGAAAATGGACCATCGAGTGGGACGCCTGGTGGTTCGTCATCACCGGCACCTGGTGACAAAGATGCCGCTGCACTGTCTCGGGTGCTTATTACGACATTAGCTGGATGCAGCCAGCCTCCTGAGGTAAAAGCTTTTGTTATTATGAATGCACTTGCAAGCTTAGCATTTCTATGCCATTTCTAGCTCGGACATGGAAGTTGGTTTAGTGCTAACTTTACAGATTTAAAGGTGTTTTCGCATTTGGAAAACATGTAAATATGTTTTTAATTCTTAGTTTCCAACTTTGACAAGCTGTCAGAATGGTTCGTGATTTTTCGTTATTCCTCGTATGCTTAAAGTGGTCGGCTCGCCTAGATTATGAAAATTACATCCTTTAAGGTTATCATGGTTCTAGGTCTATTATAGAAAATTAATGCGAGAGGCTTTGTTAGCATTATAGGACCCGTTTAGAGGCAATTTTACTAGAGTATGAATCGGTATTTCAAACAACCCTTAGTGTGATACCATGGGCGATTTGTTTTATGAAAGACTGGTGCCATTGCCATCGATACGTAATTTGTGCCGCAGTTACCTGAGCTTCAGTGCATTTCGTTCTTTAGGGAAATGTTTCAATAAACATTTTTAGCCTGTACCGCTGAGGACGCGGAACATCTTTTAGTTCTAGTGATGGAACGTGTTTATCGATATTCTCAAATTAACACTGGATGAATCCCCACTAGGAAACTACCATCGTAAAATCGTTTCGTTTTTGTAGGTCCAACAGTGCCTACTACACGAGCTGCGTTCGGGCATACAACGCGCGTTGGCACTACCTGAGAGTCCGGAGAAGCATGCACGTATACAGGCGCTCACTGGGCTTATCGGTTGTGTGGCTCGCGCCGCATCACAACAGCCGGCACCCGGTCGAAACTCTTCGGCTGGTGGTGTTCCGGGTAATACGTGCAGTGCCCCATCACGTCTGGTAGCGCTTTTGATAAAGCGTGGTTTGTTGTCTGACCTTGCAAGGGTGGCGCACTCTCTCGATCTTTCGTCGCCGCATCTGGCTGCTACTGTAAACTCTGCGCTGCGTCCTCTTGAAATGTTAACCAGCTCTAGTCATTTAGCTGGCACAGGACCCTTCCGAAAGGGCAAAAGCCAAGGCTCGCAGCAACATCATGGGCGGTCATTCGCTGACGTGGTGGCAGGACGAAGTCGTGGTGATTTGGGTGTTGATGAAGCAGATGAAGTCGCAGCTGGGGATGACGATGATGCCGAGATGGACGATAACGTCATGCACCGTTCTGCACAGGTACCTGTTCCTATTTTAAAGCACACTACCTATTTTTAAAGTAGTGTTTTTAGTAGCATATTTGCCAATCTTTATCTAATCATTCGCCATTAGATGGCAACTTCTGACATGCCTTAATCTTTTTTTATTTCTTTATATTTGGGTAGCAGCTAGGGGGTGATATTCGTCGCTGATTGATGCGTTCCCCGGACAGTAATTATTTTTTCTGTTACCAATGATGCCGGTATTTTTTACTTTTCATTTATTCTATTTGATTAGCGTATGATTTTTCCTAGTGAAGGCACCATTTGCTACGGCAACGTTACCGACGCTTTTTGTAAAATATACAGCTTATTTTCAGGTTAATTTATCGGAATTTGAATGTACATAATGTATCTATGTATTATTTATATCCCATTAACGCATGTATGCAGGGGCAGACAATAAAAGCGCAATCTTAGTTGCCACTCTGAATTGACTAAGTGCAACTAATTAATGGGTTTTATGCAAAAGATGAGGCGCAATTTACACGTCTGCAGGCTGCATGTGATGTAGCCCTATCTAAACAGATATTTTTTATTCAGGACATTATTAGCTCATAAGTCAATTTTAAAAACGTTCTTAAAATTAGCGAACAACTTACAGGTATTATCGAGGGTAAAACGTCTTTCGTACGTGCAGGCTTTTTGAAGTCTCGCTCAAGCACACCTTAGACAAGATCTTAGAGAATTCATATTTTTAGTTAACGGCGGGCCAAGTGTCCCAAAATCCTAACAGTGGAAAAATTTGGAATTGGTGGGTTCATCCAGACTTCTAAATTGGCGACATACTTTCCTCTCGAAAACAGCTGCTAATTTCTAGATCCCTGGGTAATAAAAAATGCTTTTTCATGTGATTTTGATAAAATTTTAGGTTTTTTAAATTTTGTATGTTCTTCAAAAAGGGCATGAAGTCTTACAGCACTGAGAAAAAAAGTTTTCACCACCTTATTGATAGAAATAGATCGACCTTGAAAAACTGCATACACCGCAAAATATAGACGACAAAGTTCTCCGTTGAATTTGAAAGTGGGAGTCTGTTTCCTGCAACCCAGTACCAAGTTCCTTCCTTAGTATAGGTTGCATATTGTCCAGTCCTGCGTGTATGAACAGTAACGAACTTGGTCAAAAACAGTCGTACGCTTCTTTAAATTATTTGAATCTTGAACTTGAAAAAAGCAGCGGGCTTGATAAAAGCCCGCTGCTGACTTCCAGCCTCTACGTTTTATATATTGAATCACCCCAAATCTAGGGAGGAAGTCCTTTGCGCGACTAGATGTACCCCAGTATCCCATACTTGCGAATGCGGTACCCCGATACTCCATACCTTTAAAAGCTGGGTTACATACCAAGTATGGGCCCCCCATAAAGTATTACATGCAATGTTTTTTCGCGTCTGGTATTGGCTATGCAGTCGGACTTCTAGGTTTTTGTCCAACTGGCTAATAAAATTGTATGGTAACAATATGCTATAGAAGCCATTCGCCAACAAAATACGGTACTACTTTTCGTTTAACCTTTTATATCCAAATACTAAAGAGGCTAGCAAGCTTTAGGCAATTTTCTTAGGTCTTAGAGTAGACATTTTTAATTTCATCCAATGACTGTCGGCGCGAGTTGCTCTGTGAGCTTGTCTGACAGAGTTGTTTACATGAATAATAATAATGCTATGAGAGTGAATGATACAAAATGCCATAAGAAAGTTCTTTACTAATTATGTTTTAACATTTCAATTTTTCCGTATATTTAAGTATTTTCAATTTTACCGTTTAATTTACCGTCACAAAACTTTTATGGTGTTAGGCTGAGCACTATATTGCTGTAGACATAATTTTTATAATTGCGCTGCTATGTGCTGTATAGGAGGAAGGTGTTGGAAGCGGTAGCGTTGGTGGTGGTGTGGCTATACCAACCCTTGACAACATAATGGAGATGATACTCGAAAATGACATTAATGGCACCCTTGACGCCGTTGTCAACCGCACTATTGGACTGGACCACCATCGTGCTCCTCTTGAACACCACGTTCGATTGGAAATGGAATTAGACAGACCTGAGGCGCGTGGAGGTTTAATTGAACTTCGACAGCACCAATCGAGCAACCGAACTCTTCCTGAAGACGAGGTTAGTACAACTTTGTACTACTTTGTACAACAAGTTTGTAAGTACAAGGATCGTAAGTTTCATTTGCTATAGCTTCTACTCGTCGCCTACATTTCTAACGAAGAGTGCTCTTGTTAATATTTTTACATTTACAGGGAAGTTATTATAATAATTCGCCTTTATTCGTGCTGTGTTTATAGGTGTTTATTAATTGCGTAAACATTTACAATGAAAACATAACTTGCTGATGCTTGCAGGAAGACACTAATTTTTTTAGAATCTAAAAAAGGACTGAGAAGTTCAAATAGTACCCGCACAGCAATTGATATTTTACATTTTTAGAGTATTTTGGGGTGCCATCGTCCAAATGTAGCCTGCAGGGCGCTGCGATATGCTAAATGTCTTTAAATATCTTTTTCTTATTACATCAATATATACATGAATAAATACAAAATATATATGTTTATTATTACAACAAGCAATTACGACAATTGCTAACAACTATTGGTGTTTGTTAGGCTGTATTCACTTCCGCTTTGCCGAAGGCGCTATTTACAGTAAATCTTTCTATCGTGTCAACATATGTTGGGTGATTTAGGAAATGGATGATATGGAATTGGAAGAGGAAGACGATGATAATGTAACCGTGGATGGCGTAGATACTGGTGAGCACAGAGATCGTGAAAGGAGGCACCGCAGGCCTCATCATTCCGCCGTCGCTGGTGAGGACGAAGCGGTTGATGACGTGGAACCTGACGAAGAAGATTCCCATATGATGGCCGATGACTCCACGGATAGAGGAGCTAACCATCCAACAGGCGGAGGAATGAGTGCTAGATTCAGTCGTCTAGAAGATGAGGTAACATATAATCCTATTGTCCACGCAGTTTTTTAAGATTAAAAAAATTAAAAAAAACTTATCTATACCACTTAAGCTGTAAATGGTATAGATAAGTTGAAGTTGGAAGTTGTTTTTCACAAGCATTCAGCTTACTGTACAACCATTTTTCAAATAAAGTGGTTAGTTCCAAACTCCCTTAGGAAGATGGGAAGTGACGTTATAGCATTTTATACGCGTTTTATACATATGTTAATTCTCCCTTTTTGAATAAAAAACGCGTTTCATTGCTTGTGTACTTATATAGGGCAGATTTATCATTATGATAGAAAAGTACACTTTTCATACTTCACATTATATAATGAGATGTGCCCATGTGTGAGGTGTGAGCATGTGCTGACTGGTTTCACGACTGTTTTTTTTAGCTAGGATTTTAAATAGCTTACCTAAATAGCTTTTTTACTGTGGTTCCTACATGTGTAACCTAAACGTGTTAGGTAGCCTTAAACAAATATGCAACCGCAACAGGCGCCACTATTGCCGTGAATGCCATCGCAAACTTGCAATCGTAGTGAAGATCATCACGCATCGACTAACGAATTAGCTAGTTAAAAGTTATGAAAAAACTGTTAGACGTATGGACGCAACGATTCACCCTGATGTGTGTATTTCTTTATAATTGTTATACAGGACGATGTTGTAGTCCCAGTGGAAGAGGCAGACGATGATGACGATGATGACGACGATAGCGACTCCGAAACGAACGATGGTCCAGACGGACCGCCGTTGTCCGAGCGAGTAGCAATCACCCAGGTGGTACCCTCTAGCCAACAGCAGGAAAACATGTCAGGCACTTCTGTGCAGGTTATTGGCCCAGCTGTGTCAGATGTGCAAGGTGCTCAAAATGGGACCGGTAGCGGTCAAGAGAATCGGTCGAGCGCCACAGTCGGTCAAGCAGCGGAGCAGGATGAAGATGATGAAGAGGTAATGGATTTTAAGAGAACTTATAAGCGTCAAGTGTGAAGCAAATGGCATTAGAAAACCATTGAATGAAACTTTTTGGAATAAGTACTTAACAGCTCTGCACTAGCAGTAGCGTTATAGATATTCAGTCCAGATCCCGAGTGCTCAGAAACTTACCTCAATTGCTAAATCTACGAATATTCATAAATCGTGCATTCAATATTCATCCAAAATATATTTAGATACAACCGTCTTCGGTCATACCAGACGAAATGTTGGTTTTACTTTAATGACTACAGTTATACTAAGTCGTCGCTGTCAAAGCAAACTTTTGGCTTTGAGTAATTTGCTTGAATTAGTGTTTTCATCAGATACTTTTGTTGCTATCTGGAATGATTTAGGACGATGACTTTGATGAGGAAGAAGATGAAGATGATGAAGATGAAGATGAACTGGACGGCGAGAATCCGTTATTCGGGCCGGCAGAAGCGGGACTTGGCTCAACACTTTTACGGATGGAGCAACGAGCACATGCTCACACCTCACACATGGGCACATCTGGACAGCAGCGTGGATCGTCAAATTCTGCGAATCCATTTACAGAGAGTCTTTTTCTGCAGGTAAGAATTGTGCCATTTTGGATTCCCAAATCAGTTCTATTACCATCTGTTCGAATATATCTTAGTTTGGGAGAACTTAACAAAAATACGTTACTTAGCAGTCTTTTAACGGAATTCATTATACGATAATTTATTCTCATCCTAATTTCTTAATGGAGTCAGTTGCAAAAACATAGTATTGTTTACAACATTTTCGACTGACATATATCTAATATCTATATAATAATAATATCTAAGCTGAAGTGAAGAACTTTTGAAAAGTTAGTATCAGACATAGTACGCTCCACTTATGATTCTTTTCAAGATGCAACAAATACAACAGACTATACCGCATTCCACAATATACTGATTGCATTTTAACCTGGCACGTTTATTTTCCCCTCCAATTGTAATCTCCGCCCTAAAAGCTATTTTGTAACTTATTACGTTTATTTTGCCACATACAGCCTCATCGCAATATATTCTTACAAATAATTGACTTTGATGGACAAGTACTCGAGTTTTACAAATTGGTGTTAGCTATTCTAGAAAGCGACTCAAAAGCTGCGTTATTTTACTAAGTTGCACTTTTTGGCCAAATCTTACTAATGATGCTCTTCGAACTAATTGCATTATATTCACCACTGCTTAGTTTACACAGCCAAGAAGATATAGTCAATGCAGGTTAAATCATTTGGCCGGGTTGGATAGCTACGTATAACCATTATTTGAGCATCGTTTTTTTTCTGCGTTTTACCAGCGATTATATATTCTTAATTCTCTCGTTTTATATCCCCAAATAGCTTGAGTCTTCTACGGCTTTGGCTTTAACCAGTTGCAAACAAATTTGGCAGCACTTTTACAAAGGGCTTTTTCGAAGGGTAAATACTTTGAACTAAGCGAAAAAGTTTATTTTGTTGTTTGTTCATTGCACACAGAATTAGTATACGATACTCGATAGTTCGTATCCGAAGTTAGTATACGATACGTATACTAACTTCTGCATTATCCGAATTAACCCACTTTTCATCTCACCTGACAGGCCACTTGATTTATAATGGCAACTCATTACTGTAGATTCTGTACTGTTCTAGTTCTCTAAAAGAGAACTACAGCAGTACAGTGAGGTAAAGCTTTCTGCTCAAGGTCACAAAACATTACTAGGTATACTGATCAATTTATAGAATAAAATAGCAGTCACAGCTAAATGAGACTGTATTTGATGTGCCGGTCAGAGCTAGGAATGTTCATGATTCCTGGGAGTGATTTTCGAACGATACACACGTGATTTGTTTTAAAGCTGTATTTAAAGATTTTCATGTGCCGCTATGAATATTCTTAGTGGACATGGGTGCTGAATACAACTGCCATTACTTTCGGTCGCGGCTGTTGCACGTTAAAATAGCGGAATAACTGCAAGTGGCAGCGACTCGATAGCAATTCGATCTCGATATATGCAAGAGAGTACAAGAGCGTACTTCGTATCTATACCATTCTATTTTCTGCATAATTTTTTATAAACGATGCGAGTGATCAATATTTTAAGCGCTATTTAGGTACTATGATTAGTTTTATTTTTTATAAACGATGCGAGTGATCAATATTTTAAGCGCTACTTAGGTACTATGATTAGTTTTATAAAAACTAATCATAGTACCTAAGTAGCGTAATTTATAATGCTTTGTAGTTTATTGTTACCAGTTGACAGCTTACTATATTGGTTTTTGAGTAGCTTAATAAGGTCGAAAAGGTTACTCACATTAGATGTGCTTGATATAGGAAAGTTTGTTAAATGTGTTTCTTTGTCTCTAGGTTGATCTGGAAGACATGTTTCCGTCGCACATTTTCACTGGGGAAGGCAGTAATGACAGTGGTGTAGGCCGGTATCTCCCTTCGATCTTAGACTGCGACCCCGCTGACGGACTGGCACCGGCTGTGCCACCGGCCCCTGGAGCTGTGGCAGCCTCACATCCGTTGTTAAGTAGAACAGCAGGAAGAGGTGGTAGTAATGTTGGCTCGAGTTCACAGGGCGGTTCCGGCACTGACCGAGGCGGTGGCAGCCGAAGCAGTCGAGGACGAACACTTGCAGTACAGAGCAGTAACCGACTGGTCGGAGGCACCGGCAATGGCAGTGGACGCGCTACCACTGTCGGAGCTGCCTGGCACTTCCTCAGCGGTCGTGCAAATCCACCAGCAATTTTGCAAAGGATCTTCGGTAATCCTTCAAGTGGCCATGACCACACACATCTGCCCGTTCACATCTCTGGAGGCGGAGGTCACTTCGGAGGTAGCGGAGGACATGGAGAGGGTAACCCCGTAGCTGCTACAGGCCGTGTACTTTTCGCCAATCCAATATTAGAAGCACCTGACGATTGGTTTGTTGATATGTATGACGATCCTGGCCTAGGACTGAGTCTGAATGGGTTAGGCGGTGGTGTTGGGGGTTCAAGAGGCGCAACTCATACGAATGGCGTTCCGTCAGCTCACGCACGCTGGATTGAAGAGAGCCGTGTACTTGACGGTGATTCACTGCATGATGCTGTAGCTTTAGTTAAGCCCGAAATCGTTCCGCACCTTGAGAAGCTTCGTGATCAAGAGCTAGCTCAAAGAAAGGAAAAACGCGCCCGAGCAAGAGCAGCTCAGGAAAAGAACAAGCAAGTAGAACAGCAGCAAAACACAAGTGGTAAATTCAAGTCAACTACAGTCGACGACCAAACATCGAATGAAATTGACTCAGTTTCCGGTCAACGACATGAATCTGCCAGCGGATTTAGCAATAACCCGTCAGAAACCATGGACATGACAGTTGTGATTGAGCCGACAACCTCATGTGTGCACGAGGATTTCGCCCAAAGCATCGTGGAAGGTCTGCTTAGACCTTCTTTAACTGGGCAAGGTTCAAGTCCTAACGCAACGGGGGAACCATTAGTTACAACCCAACAAAATGATCAGGGAACACGCCATGCAGCTCTAACAAGCAGAAGCGGGACGACTGAACGCCTTTCAACAGTTTCTCCTGTAACGATGAGCGGTGCTTTTGAGCAAGCAACAACGAACACGCATGCCTCAGCATCAGGTACATAGATACGAAGTGAAATTATTCTAGCCATAACAGTATTGCGCTATGTGTAGGCCATAGTATAGCTTGTAAATCTGAATGCGGTAACTAATAGTATTGTACTAACATTATACAATATTTGACAGTTGTAAAAATACAAAGCTTCTTTCAAAGAGCAGTAGTCCGAGTTTCAATATGCAATTTTGATATATTATATATTATATATATACCACTTGTAAAATAGGGGCTACATCTGCCTCCACGGGGGCCCAGGCTGACGAAGAACACTGGCTAGCTGATGAACAAACGTCACAATCAGGTGCTAGTTTGGGTGAGGGTCCTGATGGACCTGACCCTGAGGTAGCAACCGATGACAGTGCGCCCACAGAAGACCAACACACAAGTGAGCGTAATGACGAACGTGGCAACGAGGCAGGTGCCAATGACCATGACGGGGATGTACAGCCAATGGACACCACGACAGGATCATCTCCGCAAAGAATCAACCAAGTTAGCAGCGATAACAGAATTGAGACAACAGAGGATAATCACGAAAATCTGATGAATCAGCCCACTGTATTAGCACCGGATGAATCTCACCATCAAATACAAGCCAATAATCTATTGAGGTATGTCCTATTTATATTTTGTATTTGTGATTTTTCTACTTATTTGATGGTCTAATACATGGTTTAAACAAGCGTTAAAAATACTTATATTATATAAGTATTTTTAGCGCTTTGTCCATGCCACTTTGGAGCATGCGACATTAGATCAATGTTAACTTGGCGTTTTTATTAGCACAATGTTCTCTAGTCTGCCGAGCCTGGTCTGACCAAATGCTTTTTGATAAATAGTGTAAAAAAAAAAATAGTGTGGTAGAAGGGTTGTATTTAGCTTTTGAATTGGTTTATTGTGAAAATGGTTAAAGTAAACATTTTTTTAAAAACACCGAAAGAATTTAATTATTACTATGGTACATATATGTATATATATATATATATATATAATATTGATAATTTTGTAATCCCCTAGTCTCGCACACCGAACCATTTATATTAGCATTATTGCAATGCATAAATTATTTAATAGGAATAATAATAATAATATTAAAACGTAAATAATAAAAAAAAATTCGCTTAACAGTTGTGATGAATCGGGAGGTAATCTTATGGACACGGGTACGCCATCTGGTACTGCACCTGTAATATCGCATGACGTGCATATGATCTCTCCTGAAGGATCCCATCTCGATACTTCTGCCTACAGCAGCGTCCAAAACGCGTCTAACAACTGTATTAGTGAGGGAGGTGGAGCAGATCTCACGGATCAAATGCAGGTTCATCTGCAGGCTGAAACCAGTAGTCCACAAGGAGAGCAGAACCGGGGCGAAAATGTCAGGGATGATGTTGCAACAGGAGTAGGTGCTAGCTGTTCTCTCGAAGATGCATCCCAGTCAAGTGGGGCGGCCACGCTATCCGGAACAGGGAACGAGTACTCCGCTATACTAGGAGATATGGAGGTACCAGAAGGGGTAGATCCGTCATTCCTCGCTGCTCTTCCTGAGCACATGCGTCAAGAAGTTATTCAAGACCATTTACGCATGCAGAGACTCAGCCAACAACAAAGTCAGCAGTCTCAGCCTCCGGGGAGCTCACAAAATGTTGCTGGAAACACAGAAGCGAGCACTGGTATTGGGGCGTCAGGCTCTTCAGGGTTGTTTAGTGAAGTAAATCCCGAGTTTTTAGCAGCTCTGCCGCCATCCATTCAAGAAGAGGTGCTGGCACAGCAGCGCGCGGAACAGCAGCGGTTAGCTGCGGCTTCGTCTGCGCCAGACGCTCCAGCTGATCCGACGGCCTTCTTCTTAACACTGCCTGCAGGCTTACGTCAGACAGTACTCCAGGACCTGGACGACTCACTGCTTCCTGTTTTACCACCTGACCTAGCACAAGAAGCACGTACACTACGGGCACAAGCACTCCAGCAGCGTGAATTGCTTCAAGATCGGTTCTTTAGCCATACGTCTGGAGGGACCAGCACAACGTTGTCTCGCATTTTACGGACAGCGGTGAATCGAATAGGCGGAAGCGGTGCGGGAGCTCGCTATACTATTCACACACTTCCATCTCGAGCCACAGGCGGTCGTGGCGGTCAAAGTTCGTGGGGATGGCAGAGCTCTCTTGGAGGAAGCCTAGGAAGCAGCAGTTTGATGGGCCGACAACGTAACCTAGCACGTCAACTTGTGGACTGGGAGGCTTTAGCCTGCCTTCTTGTGTTATTGTTTGTGGACGAACCGCGGTTGCACACAGCTCGCTTGCATAAGGTGCTTCGTAATTTGGCAGCACATGAACCGACACGACGTTGGCTCGTTCAAGCACTTCTATCTATGCTCGACCGAGCGGGCGCAAACATCTCAACTTCAGGTTCAGCTACGCCTTTCTCATTTGAGCAGCACAACAAGAGTGGAACCGCGCCATGTCGCTGGCTTTCTGTAAGTTTAGATGCAGCCTTGGGCTGTCGCACAGCGGTTTTCCATCTAGCTGATGGCCAAGTGCTTATTCATCCGCAAGCAGCACATCTCGTGTGTCGGCATGCGCTTGATGCCCTCATCTCACTCGGAAAGTCGTTTCCACAACATTTTATGCCACATTCAAGTCACCAGACGGCTTGTCAGGGCATCGACAGCAGTGTGACCAGTAGTGGCCAACCTGAGGACTTCTGGACTCTTATCGTAAGACTAGAACAGCAAAGTCAGCAAAGTCAACTTGCGAATAGCAAAGGAAAGGTAAGTTAATATGGTTGTATTTACGGTGTATGTAATAATAAAAATTTCCTCCCCCTAATGTAATAGTTTGTCCGACACCTTAGTATCGTTAAAATTCAAAAACTAAAAAAACAGGACTTCTTGCTTGGTCCTGTGGATTTACTGACTGGACCAATAGATAGTTATTATAATACGAAGTGGTAATAACATGTTTCCACTATTTTTATAGGGGAAGAGCGTTTTGACATCTGCCATCAAGAATCAAGGCGGATGCAGTAGCAAAGAAAGCGTCATCAATATTGGTACTGGAAAGAAAAATGACCAGCCCTCTGGAAGTGCAAATGGACTATTAAACGATTCAAGCGAACTGGGTGATTCTACAGAGCTTGCAGATGGAACTAATATCACTAGCAGAGACAACTTGAGCGCTACTGCAAATTCCACACATTTGCATTCAGCAGCAACAACTGCTGGCACCTCAGGCAAGGTAAGACTTCAATTTTTGTAAGCCAGAACTCAGTGTAGAAACATAGGTTACTTTTTGCAATTATGTCACCAATAATTGGCGATTCTTTGAACCTAACATTGACATGTATTCTCAAAATGTTTTTTGCCTCCAAATAGTGAAATCATTCACGTGTTTCAGTTTTGTTCCGTTTCAAACATCGTCTTCCCTATTTATCACTTCGAAAGTTTTGACTAGTATCCCTATCTAGTTCGCTAAGAAAAAGATTATTAACTCAGTGGGATCTTATAAATAACTACCGTTTCCCATTATTTTACTAGGTCGTAATCGAACAGATGAGCGGAGCGCACCTTGCTGCATGTCCTTTATTCCAATTAACACTGCACTTGGGTCATCCAGTGGTGCGTCACTCGCAGCTGCTTACAGACCGACTGCTGCGACTGCTTGCTCTTGTTGTAGTGGCCATCGAGGATCGGCCCACCCATATATTTTCTTCTGCGACAGCAGAGGCGGCGACCGCATCGACGACTTCGGTACCTGCCTTAGCTGCCGAGGAGACAACGGCTTCGCAGCCTTCACGCTCTTCAGATTCTTTAGTAGTAGGTGTTGCAACAGAACCAGCATCGGCCGAGAACACAGCAACAGTCGAGACAGGGGAAGGGTCTTCACCCGACAATGCTGAAGCAGCGATCGTATCTGGAACTAATGAAATTTCAGAAACTACTGGTTCAACAGGAGAAGTCCCGTCTTTGATGTCAAGAAAAGAAGGTTTTGGTGACAGCAAAAATAGTCGCAATCGGAGTGAAGAAAAAGACCAAAGTAAAATACCTTGTGATTATGCGGGCAGGGATGAGTGTACATCAGATGCCGCCAACAGAAAAAATGATGATGAAGAGGTTGAGCGACTAAATAAAGAACGTCAGGAGAGGGAGGCAGAAACAGAACGTGTGTTATGTAATCATCTACGCTTAGCAGTGGATGCACTTACAAGCAAGTCGTGCTCTGAGGCCGGACTCGAAGACGCCACGACCCTACTGCTTCGTCTGTCAAAGGGATCTTCTTCGGCACGGAAAGTTGTCCTTCGATTACTACTTGAAGGAGCCCGCCAACTCGGACACACACTCTGTGAGCACATTCGGCGCCTTGAAGATGAATTAAAAACTATGCGTGGTGCAACGAACCCTGCAGACGTTCCTGCTGATCAACGACCAGGGCCTAATGGATCTCGTGGAATGATTCAGGACCGATTTACGTCTTCAGCTGTGGTTATAACGGCAGGTGGCCAAGGCCGGGTAAGCGGTCAAAGCGGTACGAGAAGTCTTCAGACAGGAGCAGCCAGCCGGGAGTTACAATTAGCCTCAATGGCTACATTGACAGCAAAAACATCAAGCCAGGCGTTTCTGCTTCGAGTTCTTAAAGTAATTATTCAATTGCGTAACTGTGCTCAAAACGTCCATAATGCCCAGCAAGTGCAGCGACAAAATAACGGCGGTGCGGGAACCAGCGCAGCTGGAAGCGAGCCCGTTAGAGCAGTGGAACCGCTACCAGCGCTGAGTGCGGAGCTGGCATTAGATGCGCTTTGGGCCAAACTATCAGATTGCCTCTCCGAACTCGCGGACGCGCCCGATCAACACGCTGTACTTGTGCTTCAACCTGCTGTTGAGGCGTTCTTCCTCGTACATGCTGCCTCTTTCAGAGATGTCGGTCAAGTTGGAAATTCTGGCTTGCAAGATAGGTCTGTTGAAGGTGAGGGCGCTCCCCACCGCTCTGTATCAGGATCACTGGGAACTAACAGCTCTTCAGAACCAATGGCAACAGAAGCTGCAGAACACCTTTTGCAAGATATGGCGCCCGTGTCACCGGCACCCCAGGCAGAAAGTGAATGCGGATTTGAGGTTGGTGGTACAGGTAGTGCAGATGAAGACGGAAGCTCTGACATGCGGAAGTTTTTAGCATTCGCGGAAACACACCGTATGGTGCTAAATCAGATTCTCCGCCAATCTACGGTGCATTTGCCTGACGGTCCATTTGCTGTACTTGTTGACCATACTCGAATTCTAGACTTTGATGTGAAGCGTAAGTATTTCCGCAGTGAGCTCGACAAAGCGGACAACGCAGGTGGTAGTGGACGACGAGAGGATGTTGCCATTCACGTTAAGCGAGAGCACGTCTTTGAAGATTCTTATCGTGAGTTACATCGTCGACCGCCTGATGATTGGCGTAATCGACTGTACATAGTATTTGAGGGTGAAGAGGGCCAGGACGCTGGAGGTCTCCTTCGGGAATGGTACACCATTGTTTCGAGAGAAATCTTTAACCCTATGTACGCACTGTTCACGACATCTCCTGGTGATCGCGTTACATACATGATTAACCCGAGTTCGCACTGTAACTCAAATCACCTGAGCTACTTCAAATTTGTGGGCCGCGTGATAGCCAAGGCTATCTATGACAACAAGCTGCTAGAATGTTATTTTACAAGGTCATTCTATAAACACATTCTTGGCAAGCCGGTGAAGTATACAGATATGGAATCAGAGGACTACGAGTTCTACAAAGGACTTGTGTACTTGCTTGAGCACAACGTTGAAGAACTTGGAACTGAGCTCACATTTTCACTTGAGGTAAGTACGTTCCCATGTGTACAATAGTAGTTGTGAGTACCCAATCCGACGCTGCTAATATATATATTTATTAATAGTATTGCTAGGCGGGTCCCGCAAACTACCATTCTGCAAACACATTGTATAATTGTTAAGATAAATATCTTTATATGCTGTAGGTTCAAGAGTTCGGTGCCAATTCCATTAAAGACCTGAAGCCAAATGGGCGTCACATTCTGGTCACAGAAGATACTAAGCAGGAGTACGTCCGCCTTGTCTGTCAGGAAAAGATGACTGGTGCCATAAGGTAAGCACAAAAACTCAAATGCAGTGTTTATATCTATCCTAATGCTTATGATGAACCATAACGACCTTTTTAGGATTCGAGCCACTGTACTCTATGCACTATAAAAGCGCACAAAACTCTCTGTGCTAAGCCAGTGTGTGGCATCGAGATTTGAATATCTGTATTTAGGTTGACTGGCTATTCATATGAAGCCATGACCTAACATGATGAAAGCCAAAAAATAAATTTTGTACATTTTTAAACATTATGTTGTCTGGTGTTTTGTTCTATATATTACAGGCCCCAACTACAGGCGTTCCTGGAAGGTTTTTACGAGATTATTCCTAAATCCTTGATCTCGATTTTTAACGAGCAGGAACTTGAACTACTCATCTCAGGTTTGCCAAGCATCGATATCGATGATCTCCGCTTAAATACGGAGTATCACAAATATCAGCCGGGTTCTTTACAAATTCAGTGGTTCTGGCGAGCACTTCGTAGCTTTGAACAAGCGGACCGCGCAAAGTTTTTGCAGTTTGTCACCGGTACATCAAAGGTACCACTCCAAGGTTTTGCCTCTTTAGAGGGCATGAATGGCGTTCAGAAATTCCAGATTCATCGAGACGACCGATCGACTAGTCGGCTACCTTCCGCGCATACCTGGTATGTAGATGCTCCATCACAAGTTTGGAATATTTCGGGCCATAGAATATCCTACCAGCTGAATGACACTATAACTGATACTTTGGATGCCTGAGGCGGGTGCTCTGTGTTCGTCCCGCATCAGCCTTATTATTGCTCGTGGTTTTGCAGGTCATTTATTAGAGTTTCATACTGTCTACCCGATAATGATGTGTAAAGCTTTATTGTTTGCTTTGAGATAATTCATAAACGAAGATATAATTAGTATTAGTCAGTATTGAAACAAGCAACTAATTTCTCCTTCGATATGTAAACAATTTTCTGTTTACATAATATTAAGCATTATTATTGTTATATATTTTTTGATAAATATTAATTGAATACGTCGTTTTTTTCTGTTAATCGTTGGTAAATTGCAGCTTCAACCAGCTAGACCTTCCTGCATACGAGACATATGACAAGCTGAAAGCAATGCTTCTCAAAGCCATTCGTGAGTGCTCGGAGGGTTTCGGCTTTGCCTAAGACGACCCTTCGCTCTGAAAACCGCTTTGTCATCGACGACCAACCAACAACTGGATATATACTCTTAAACTACGGGTGAAGTAACAGGATCCGTTACATCATTTCGCTAATTGCCGTTGCTACCGCGATGCCTACACGGAAGGAACCCGACTGGTTTTTTTTAGAAGAATTATACGGCAATATTTCGCGTTGATTAACTGCAGCGTTATGAAAACTGCTGTTATAGTGATGGTTTCTTGACTGACCACATTTCTAGTTCTATAAAAATCAGGGACTTCAATGATGGGGGAAGTGGTATGGTAACTATTTTAAGTTTACAGAATGCATTATTCAAGGGCGATCGTTAGAATTAATCTGTAAAGTTGATTGAATGGCGCCGAAGTCAAACTCCACTTGGCTTCTCTTTCGGGCTCTATATCGATAAGGTATGTCTATCAGTCGATAGAAGTACACACACTGACATCAGAAGGTAATGAAATATTGGCTATGGCTGTAGTAGTAAAAATGTGTGGGGGCTATATAATATGACCACAGGTCGTGCCGACAGCAGACGCGATATGTACGAATATTATGACGTAAGATAGAAGATGAGAAACAGTGCTAAGATCAAGGACACCTGTAGTGTGGCGCTGTGGTATAGAGATGTCCAGATTGGAGCTCAGAATATTATCAAGACAATGGAGTACTATAAAACGGATTTCTGAATTTATTGTCGAGAAAAAGAAGGGCGAACCAATGAGTGAGTGTACATTTGTGTAATATTATTAATAATAATATTAAGTACGATTGCTATTGATACTATGATTATTCCATCTGCGCGCGGTTAATAGGTTAATAGGTGATAATTATCCTTTAACTGATCTATAATACAATAAGGCCCTAAGAATTATGATCTATAATACAATAAGGCCCTAAGAATTATGATCTGTAATACAATAAGGCCCTAAGAATTATGAAGATGATGAATGATATCACGATGTCCGGTTGCTTAATATACGAAATATGGTTTGGACTTGATGATCGCTAATGAATGGGCCCGTATTCCCTCACCACCGATAAATTGTCAGTAATTGGTAGTAAGGGTAAGATATGTTCCCTGACTACCACTAAGTACTGATATTCAATTATGTGGCATCGCTGAATGCCCTAATCGGTTGGTACAAGCAACATATAACGGCTTTGTATGAAAGAAAAAGGAGACAAGCGGAAACATACCATCGATGATTTAATGGGGGTTAGTTCCCATCAATATGTAGAGCTAATGGCACCTTACTGATTTGTAGTAGATTGTTGGCCATCGTGGATGACTGGAAGAGACTAGCATAGAAATGGCTCGTTGCTGAATGGCCAGCAAACAGGACTAATTATTAATACACACATAGTGTTTCTGCATGAATGTATGAACCTTTCAGTAAGGAGTCCGATAACGGCAGAGGATGCGAACACGAAACGAAAAACTAAGTGGTTCAGCCACTATTTCGAAAAAAGCTGCCTGTTCGAACGGTAACATTTGAACACAGTGATGAATAAACATGCTTATTATAACATGCATAAATTTGAAATATAAATATTAGCTATTTTTTATCTTCTTTGAATCAGAAATATTATGTAAATCTACAGAGCTATTGCAAGCGAATACTTGTAGCAGTTTACCGCTTGGAATTTGGGAGGGGTGCTAAATTTTCGCTGAGGTCGAAGATTGTTTCCTATCCAGATGGATTCTGGGCTAAAATCTAACTACAATGGAGCGATTTGCAGCAAAATCAGTACACCATTTCTCAGGCATCAAAACAACATATTGTCCCGATTTCTCTTGAAAGGTAGGTTAGCTTCCCAGGATTTTTTTTTATTACGGTATAACATACTGTCAGAATTCTCTTGAATGAGTATGGGCATGATTGTTGGTTGAGTATGGGGAAGTTATTGTGAATAAGAAAGAGAGATAAAAATTAGTGAGGAACCGTTCAGGAAAATGCTGGTCAAAATTCAACTTCAATTTTCCTGAACGGTTCCCCTTCTTCGATCTTCATATCTTTCTGACGCATGTTAATTTGATCATCCCAATGTTCAAGTAAGGGAATTTTGACAGCATGTTGTAGCGGGAAGCTGGAAAGCTAATCTACCTTTCAAGAGAATTCAGACGAGGGTCACCCCGATTAGATTGGCCTGTGAAAAGTACTTAGTCCAGTAGTAATAAATGAGAAAAATAGAATTCTTTATTTTCGTCGGTTTTAAATATTTCTTTCCTCTTCCTTCTAAAAATGCTTGTGATGAACGGTGGCAGATATTTGTGTTCTTGTGAACTCTGTTTTTTTCAGGTTCAAACTCTGTTTACGATCAGTGCCTTCGGTAGTTTTACTCAGAATCTATGTTAATAGAGTTCCAAATAATGCATTTTCAGATAGGTATTTGCTTTATCCTAAGTTAATTACTGGAATTATTTTTACCGCATCTCAATTTATTTCACAATGCAACAGGTTATATAAGGGAGGCAACGGCTATGTGTGTTACCAATAATTTTGTATGAAAGAGTCAGTCATTCAATAAACCTAAGGGGAAGGGAAAATGCGCTGCTTCTTAAAAACGGCTGTAATTATGGCTCGAAAAAAAATGATGTTATAATAATTTATTGCGAAATTAAAAACATCAAAGATTGACTCGTTAACCGTAGGTCTGCCGCGCAGTGTCTAGCTGAGTTTTGAATCGACATATCTACGAGTCCAGTTTTATTATAGAATACGGGAAAAATAGTAACAATGTGCGCGCTGATTTCCAAAAATATGCTTTTGGAAAACTATACTAAAGCTTAACTACAGGTGGTAGTGGTGGTAGTGCTGTTTATCTGTTAATCCTGTAAATCTGTTTAAATCCGAAGGCGAACACACTTCGATTTATGCTGAGGTTTAGCCATCTTATGAAATGCCTAATGGCGGTATCGGACGTAAAACTGAAATATTCAGATTTGGTAGTTCGTTAAGCAAAATTACATAAGCATAATTCACCTTGGGTAATTAACTATACAGTTATCCAAGGTGAATTGTGTTCTGATGCAGTTCATATATCATGAATATTGTTCTGTCCGAATGGTGCGATATACCTATAAAGTCGTCGACAACTAGTAACCACATATAACACGTTGTTAACCTGAACGAATGGTACAGAGAGTGCGAAATAACTTTGTGAATTGCTTTTGAAGATGTGGCTTTGCAACAGACGAAATTGCAGTAAAAAATGAGTTTTTATTTCGCACAGTTTTATTTAATTATTTTTTATTACGATCACAAAAAATTGTCAAAAAAACCTGCCAGTCTTTTACAGTCCTACTTTTGAAATTTGATTTAAGGAAGAAATCCAGTAACGCGTTTTAAGGCTTTCATAGTATTAAATTTTAAAAATATTTTCTTGCTAGGGAGAGATTCATTCCTGCGCTATTATCTTGTGTTCTATTATAGACAAGGTGGCACATCTAGATCCGGATTTTTATATGAGTCGTTTCTACGATTATGTCTAAATAAAACCAGAAATTTCAACTTTTTTTCCGTGTATGGAAAGCGTCAGTTTCGCCGCAACAACAAATCTTCAATTCAAGGCCTAAGCTCTCACAAGCTTTTAAAAAGTAATAATATTTAAATAGAAAAGGCGTGTCAAGCGTTATTGCTAGGTGTAAGCTCGCTGAAATAACGCTTAAATATGTTACATACAAAAACTTTAAGCCGGACCAGTTTTAAGCTCATTGCGGGCCGAATGTCCCAAATATGAAAAGAGAAAATGGTGAATAATTTTCGAAATGTGCAAAAAGTGGAAAAATTGCATGAAATTTTACCTTTCATTTAGATGACACAATCGACAATTATTATTCTGGCTTTCCAAGCGGTTGTTAGTTCTAAATAAAAGACCATACATTACAAATAAAAGATGGCTTTTCCAGGAGTTTCGATTAATTTTGAAGCCTTTAAATCAGAAGACTGTTGTAGTTACTTTCATTTGCCTTTTGAAAATGAAAGTCTGGTTCCCAAAAGCTGTATGAGAACTAACAATAACGTAGACTGTCGATCTTGGGAAAATGGATCATTATTTTGGTGTGAATTCTTTCTACACGAACACATTAGATAATAACTGTTCAAACTCAGAAAAAAAAACGCACTGTTTTTCGCGATGAAGAGCCTGATGTTTTGTTCAACAAAAAAACAGGGTATCCTTTGGCACGAGCATTAGCAAGCGGAGGTAAGCGTACTACAATAGTCAACCTGCTAAACTTCCTCCGATTCCGGATGGCCCAACTACAGTAGCAATGAAAATTAGCATAGTTAAACAGATAAACATAGAATATTTACTTGAAGTAAATAATGCACTGTTTAAACCACTCTTACACACGCACCTTTCACACTGATTGCTGGCACTCACGATACTAGTAATCGCTCAGTTGTTTGCAAATGCTGCTGCGGCATTGTCTCCAAACATGAAAAAAGGAAATGAAAAAATTTCTGCTGCCGCGCTTTAAGCGATCAAACTGTGCATACCCTTTTCGCAACACACCTTTTTTTTACTTATTTAGTTGTAAAATGTCAATGATGTAACAAAAGTGGCTTCGAATAATGACCAGTTACTTCCTAAAACTATAGTTATCGTTTCTACTACAATATAGCTTTATCAGAGTTTTCATACGGCAGCCGCTAGACACACCTGTCCGAGCAATATAATTTTAACTTTTTCAATCTTTTACATCTAATAATTTCTTCAAAAAAAAATACCCGAAATGTATTTTAACTAATTAACACAAAGGCACATCGATACTTTTACAACACTTCGTTGTTACCCTTCGAACGGCATTTTCGATCCGAAAAGTGGTAGCTGGATGTGTAAACGTGTATTGCACTTCCATTTACCTCATTAAGAGCCTTCTATTGGAGTTAAGGAATATTTTCCTGGCATAGACTGGGTAGATAGTAATCCCATCATTACACAATCAAAAAATATTTAATTTTTAATATTTATGTGGAATTTACTAGGCCCAAATATCTATTTCAGGTAAGAATAACATGTATGACATTTTACTCATTTGGTGGAGATAGACCGATTATTGCAAAGAAATTAAATTTTTATTTATGTAAAAGAAATTAAACAATTTCTTTTACATAAAGACTTATCTTACATAAAGAATATCGATATTTTGGTACTTGTTTCTATGTTCTGAAAAGTCTGTAGAAATGCTTCCTAAATGTTCAATGAAAATGTTCATCAGTTGGTAAAACGTTCCGTTTGACACTTATCTCAAGAAAGCGTAAGAAAGCATGCAAAAGTAGACCGAAACACATTCTCGCCCCCATTGTCACGTTGCCAAGACAAGCCCTTCAATGTTTTTTTAATTATCGTCAGGCCAAAAATAAAGTATAGACACATATATTGCATTTCCACTAAGTCTCGAACTCTAATGATTGACGTCAAGAACTTTGTTATAGGGCATCATGTGACGTTTTTGGCCTTTAGGGGAGTTTTTGACCTGAAAACTGATTATTATATATGTACGCCGAGGTAATATATATATGTACACATATATATATTAACTCGGCGAGAGCTTTCTATTGGTATTATGGTCGAGAGTGAATTGTATAAGGATCAGACGCATACCAGAAGCACTACAAAAAGAACACTATCGAAAAATTGCCACAAGCGTGGAGAAGCACAACAAGGGGTGCTATGTGAGCGATGAAGTGGATACCACAAATCATAGAGTACTAATGGAGAACCTTCAGCAAAGTAAACTACCATATGAACAAGATGTTCCCAACTGTATCATCATAGAACAGGAAAACTAGAGCCCTTTCCGTTGCAATGTCGGTTCTTGCAACCTGGTAATTTTACTCATCATTATAGGAACTCAGCAGAACAAAGATGTCTGCACCTTCACTTAATAGTTGCGTTCTATAACTTGAAACGTACAAGACATAAATACAGAGCTGTTTTAAAACACTTCGATTCGAACTTTGAAGCCCAGAAGAGTTATACATAATACAGTAGGCAGAGTCTAAACAATATTTTCTACATTCTCTCATTTGCACTTACAACGTAGTTGATCCTCACGAATAATATCCTTACCAGAGATTTAACGAAAATGTTTGGCCCGATAAATTATTAAAAAATTCGTATTGGTCACTCTATAAATATAGAAATGAGAAGTCGAAAATGATGCATTGTTGGTATGCCGCATATCCTATTGAAAGAGAACTGGTAATGATAATCTAAAGTAAAGTATAGCCGCATTAAGCGGTGCGACAAGAATGGCATGGCAGTAAGTTTAGATTATTTAAGTTAATGTTTACTTAAGATTTCCAATTCAATGCATACAAGTGTGCTTGCGAACTAGAAAGCTTGCATACACGCACAGCAGCACAAGCCAGGAGCCTTGTCTCGCCTTCAACCGTACATCAGCCTAAATAAACAAATAATAGTCATCGATTGATATTTCACCGGATTTTATAAAGTATTCGGTTGAGATGTCGGAAATGGAAAAATCAAATCATGGATTGAGCGCAGTAATGCGAGTGGGGCCGACAAATTAGCAGCGTTGATCAGCTGTGTTGACTGTCTCAAGGCACAATTCGAACGCTTGACATAAGATCTACGTGATTGCTCTTGATTTGTTAGACTCAATTACAACAAGCTTAAAATGGCACGTCTTTTGAATGTATCAGTAGTGTATTCAACTAGTGACATCAGGCTCTTCTGTCAGCTGTTCCGCCAAGTTTGAAGTTCGGTGTTAAGACTTGGTTGGGTGTCTCTACCTTTTGAGGAGGTTAAAAATTAATACATTGTGCAGACCAAACTTCACTGCTAAAGTATTTCCACAAAGTTTGTGGGTCTTTAGCAATCAGGGTCTATCCTTTGGTGGAGCTCCCTGCCTCGCAAGAAACGTTAAATATTTTCCAAGGTATCCTCCCCATTTTTCTAACGTGTAGCTATGTAGCAGCGTCTTGCGTGTGCTTTCCTAGCTGCTCATTACGATTTAAACCCTCAAATTAATTTCTCCTTGCAGAAAGATAATCCAATCATTTTTGCCACTTCTGTCGATTTTTTCAATTTTGAGGTATACATATCTAGGGTCTAATGAAGAACAGAGCTGAATGGATTTCTCTTGGCACGTAAAAAAGATTTCACGCGGGTCAACTATACGAAGACTCACGGACCATACTACTTGTTATTGTATGATAAAATGCTACATCGTTTTGCCATTTTTGCGAAGATTCGAAAGCTCATTAACAACATCATCTCATCTTCGGTTCGACTAATATGCAGTTGGCCAAACGGATAACCAAAGAACAATAGATCTTCACTTATTTTGCCAGTTACTTTATCACGTCAGCCAATGCCAGTCCAATGCATGATGTATTTTTAAAATACTTGAAGGTACATGGTCTCCGGTAATTACAAGTTCAGGATGCAAATATCGTCTTTCTTTGATGGAGTCCTCTACATGTCGCGTGTCACGAATTTTGACTTGCCCTACACTGTAAGGCGTCGGTGTTTGATCCAATCTGTCAAGTAGTATCATACACGTTCCGTAATAAGCAGTTATTAAAATACTTCATGTGCACTGCAATCGAA